AGGAGAAGCCACTGAATATAATAATTTTCATATATGATAAATTACTTGCGCCTCAGAGCGAGCAGGCGAAACACAATAAATGCTGTCAATGCTTTCGGAGGTGGATGCCAGCTGTGTGGGAACGCAGTCGTGTAAGATAATTATACAGAAATTCTTTGACAACATACTTTGCTCAGGCATTTCAGAATGACCATAACAACAAAGATGCTGTGAACGAGATCGGCCCGCTGCTAGTCAAGTTATCCCGTCTCATAGCGCAAAGTCACATGACTTTTTCGATGCGCATAGAGGAATTTATTCGGTAAATGTGTTTCCATCGTAGTTTGTGCGCATTTAAAAAGTTTATCCTACTCAAATGTGCGCATACTTTTTTTAGAAAGTAAATTTTTAGAATTTATGCGCATCTTGGCGTTTCCATCCAGCGTTTTTTTTATGCGATATTCCAAAATGTGCATAAAAATAGGTGGATGGAAACACAGCTACTGTTACACTCTATTAAGATGTTATTGGATGTTGGCTGAAGAAGACGCTGACAGACTACAAATATTCACCGTTTCACCCTCTCAACAGAAAATCTGTTTACGTTAATTATAAAATCATCAAATGTGAAGAAGGTCATTGAGTCGATCCCTTTTGGGTTCAGAGGGAGGTGCTCACTGTTAGATCAACACTTCATCAGGACTGGTCTGAATTGCCTGTCGTTGGTCAATGGCAGGGAGGATCCTGCTCTAATTAACGTTTGCCTTTTAAAAGAGCCAAAACTGCTGAGACTCAAATTCCACCAGCCCAGTGACACCACAGATAACAGAAACGCGTGTGAGCCTGTGCTCAACACTCCACTGCATTTAAAAACAAACAAAAGATGAGCAGTAATGCACCGAAGCCATTTTTAAATGTTATTTTAAATATGAAGCAACACTCATCAATGCTAATTAACAGTTGCATTAAAAGTTACAATTATACTAGATTAACCACAGTCCAAAATAAATGCTTTTTTCTTTTATGCAAATTAAAAAAAGAAAATAACAAATTTAAAAAAAAAGATTTATACATCATCTGAAAGCTGAATAAATAAGCTTTCCATTGATGTATGGTTTGTTAGGATAGGACAATATTTGGCTGAAATACAACTTTTTGAAAATCTGGAATCTGAGGGTGCAAAACAAATCAAAATATTGAGAAAATCACATTTAAAGTTGTCCAAATGAAGTTCTTAGCAAAGCATATTACTAATCAAAAATTACGTTTTGATATATTTACAGTAGGAAATTTACAAAATATCTTCATGGAACATGATCTTTACTTAATATCCTAATGATTTTTGGCATAAAAGAAAAATCAATAATTTTGACCCATACAATGTATTTTTGGCTTATTGCTACAAATATACCCCAGCGACTTAAGACAAATATTAATAAATAATGTTGTTTGGTGTTTTAACACCATGCCAGCATGCTTGGCTATTTGAAATAGTATAAAAGAGTCATTAAAAAACCTATACAAGGTTTTTGCAGTTTGAGATAGAAACTCTAAAATGAATTTGGGGTCGATAGTTAAATATCTCTTCAAAAGTGTTTGCCGAGTAATAGAATTTCCTAAGAGAACTTAACCAGCACAATAATAAAACATAAGACGTACTGGACTCAAGAGCATAGTGGTAGATCTACATTTGATATTAAAAACTTGTGTGTATAATAAGCATTTAAATGTGTTATAATTATTGAATATAATTACTGTTTTATATATATATATATATATAATTACTGTAATAATAATAAATAATTAAGATAGCAGATAAACGGAGTTGAATTTTTTTCTTCATTATGTACCAATTACTTATAAAAGTAATTCAATCTAATTAAAAACTGACTAATTTACACATTGTGTGTGTACTTTGCATTTTTGTTTATTAGAGTGTCATGGTCATGACTGAATCCTATAAAGACGTTCAGACTGTACTCACCGAGAGACTCAATGAAGTCTTTGTTGCTCTGGTAAAACTTCACATATGCAGCAAGCTTTGCACTGACAAAGATAGTCAGGAGCTGGAAGGAGAAAGAGGCGTTTTATTCAGAGAATTTCTGAAAACGATTTAAAGTCTGTATTCATTTAAAAAAAAAACTATACATTTTCTTACATCGTGGATGAGTTCTCCCTCCAGGAAACGCACCGGTTTCAAGGCTAGGAGATGGTCGAAGAGATAGGTGTTTGGGTCTTTCAGGGCACGGACGATGCACCTGGGAGATCAGAGCGTAGGTGTAAATCACTAACAAAGACAAAAGCAGATCTGACAGAGAACTGACAAGAGAAGGTCATACCTGTGTGCATCCACTCGGGCTTGTGAAGCATTGTCCTCTGTGTAACTGCCCAGTAACTCCACCATCACTTTAGCTGCAGCTTCACTGAAAGACACAAGAGTGTAAGGTCAAATAAGCAAAAACCACAAGCTGCCTGGACACAGCTGACCTGAAATCAAACGAGCAGGTACCTCTTCTTGCAGTCGACCAGCGCATCATACACCAGACGGAGCAGAGTGTGTTTCTTCTCAGTATCTAGATTCCAGTCTGTGATCCACTTGCGCACCTGCACAGAACACAAAAACCCAATCATGCTGGGAATCATTTCCTAATTACATAAAATACTAAGAGAAACGAGCGGTTTGAGGGTTGAAGCTGATGTTGGCTATACAGATTAATCTCACAAAGAAATTTGCAGATCATAAGCATATCGAAAGAGAACAGATGTAGGGCTGGGACTTGGATCTATGCATCAGTTGTTGATTGGATGTTCAGTTGTGGGCGTGGCACTCAAGAGGAAGATAAACATGAGCTTGACATTTTCATAGGACTAAACATTAGGAGATTGATTTAAAAATAAAAAAATGCAACATATGCACAGATAAAGTGTTTACAATATGATCTATAACACGCATTTGGAAAACAGATTTTAGGAAAAAGCCTACTTAAGAAATTTAAACCTAGGTTTTATTGATTTATTTATTATACAATAAAAAACCAAAAACTTTTCCACCCCAAATTCTCATTACTGTAACACACTTTTTTACTGTACTTTCCTCATTTACTCAAGGGTAAAAATGTACTCATTCTCTTTACTGTAATACATTCACACCCATCAGGACACATTTTTCTAATCACTAGCAAATGCAGTTTACAGATGATTTTAGTATACTGTACAAATGTGCATTTTAAATACATATTTTCTACATTACAGTAGACTACTAACTGGAGAAAGGGGACTTAATTTTTCACTTTGTGTTAATTATGAGATGAAATATGAGCTGGACATTTCAAGACTCATCCAAATATCTTGTGATGCATTTTAAAAGCAGGAAAGGAAATACTATGATATTTTTGACATGATGTCCATACCTGGTCCAGGTCTGTAGGTATGAATGCAATGGCATTGCAGGTGGCCGCCACTTTAATCAGACTGCAGTACACAGTGTGCCTCACCGGTGTGTTCTCATCCATACCATGGAACAGATTGCTCAAGCTGAAAACAAAGAGTTTAATTAAAACAAATGAACAAGATTAGAAAAAAAGAGATTCATTTCAACAATACAGCGAAAGCACTCACAGCTGCATCCTGAGCGAGGGCCGCTCACCCTCACGAAACTTCACCAGCTTCTCACATAAACTCTCAATGAGAGCTTCCTGTTTCTCCGTCTCCAGAATCAGCAACAGGGAGACGATGCTGTTCATCACACTCTCCACATCTGCAGAGGAACACAAGAGCGCTTGAAAATGTTCTTGTAATTCTTTGCATGCTCTAACTTCAGTTATGCCATACCTTTGTCATCGTCTTTGAGGCAGACATCACAGGCTTCAATGATCTGTGCCAGATCGACGTGCAGACCTCCTTCTGAATTCTCCTCAGAGATCTCAGCTCCTTTAGATTTCAAATAGGCCCGGAGCTCTGACGCCTACAAATGAATGAATACAGAAATGAAGCCAGCTCTTACAGTAACAAAATCATAATCCCACCACGGTGCATCACCAAAAAGCGCCCAACCTCTTCAGACAGGTTACAATCTGTGTAATATTTGTGGGTTGTGAAATGTCTGTTGTCAATAACAAAAGCAGATACGTGACTATTGATACACAATATCCTGCTGACATTGAAGAAACGGCGTTTCTACCGCAATGCAACCAAACAACACACCTCAAAAACAAGTGAAATAACCGTATGCACAAACATAAACTGTTAAATTGATTATTACTGTACCAATACGTTGTATTGAGATCAGCTAAAGGCTAACAGATGTTAGCATCTACAAGCATGCTTCCGCAAAAAGGCTTTTACTTTGCTAAATAAGTGTGTAATAACGCAAAAAAAATGCTTATGAAGTATTTAAACATACCTGGTCCTCCTCCGTTATATCAATAAACGCTGGGACACTCATTTTATTAAATATTTTAAGAGCACAGATCAAAATCCACGCTCGTAGCCTAGGTTCACAGGCCGGAAAAGAATCTGTAAACTAGCCGGTGATGCTGACGTACTTCCGGGTCACAGACTTAAAGGGACAGCAAAAGTTTGCTTTTTATTGGCGCGCGTTAGTGAGTTTGATATAATTAACGCAATTAAGCATATAAAGCAGCTTATCGTGATTCTTTGGTTCTGCTTCAGGAAACAGAACTACTGCCCTTGCAGTACAAAATGCAGATCTGAATATATCTGTTCTGTTCAGTGTTCACCCAAAACAGACGGTTAGCTGTATTTACCTCCATGACTTTCAAATTTTTTTTGTTGTTTTCAGTGGAAAAAAAGACACTAAAGTATCTTCATACAATGTACGTTTGTATTGACCACAGCTCCAAAACGGCATAGCACAGGGGTTTTTCAGCCTTTTAGAATTTAGATATATTATACAATATTTTTTAAAAATGCATTACTGTAATGTGTGTTAAAAATCTCATTACTGTCATCACACACACACTTTTTTTTTTTCAAAAGAGGATACTAGTGCTGGGCGATATGATCAATTTTCATATCATCCTATGGTCAGCCTGTGAGATCGCCGATACACGATATAATCGTGCTAATTTATTTAATTATTTATTTACTTAGTTTCATTGCCGGTAAGTGAACCATCTCCAGCTTAAGGCTAAACATCTACATTACCAAAGAACATCATCACAAGCTCAGTCTAGCGTGAGTTTATGCACTTTAAAATACACTCCTGTTAAAATCAGTGAAGCAATCTACATTGTATGATGAATAAATCTCGTATACTTACATCGCACGTACATCTGCACTTTGTTGTTTATGTTAAAAGAATTCGCGAGTCAGAATTCAGTCAGCGCGCGCTGAACAACGAAACTCCGCTGTTTCAGCGATGATTCATCTGAACGCGTCTGATTGGCCATTGCATTCATAAGCATAACATAATCGTGTGTGATTGGTTATAACGCGCAACACTGTTAAAACGCGGAAAAAGAAATATAATGGAACAAATAAGCCATAGAATTAATTAGATAGTATTACTTACCTGATAATAATAGTAATAATAATCATCTTGCTATCGTCAGTGGTATCAGCCACAGGCGATATCTCTGATTATCGTTGATACACCATACTATCATCTATCGGCACATCCCTAGAGGACACAACTAGAAATCAGTGGTTAAGTTGTATTTACAACACTGTTCCAGAACAGTACAACCCAAATATTCAGATGTGTGCAGCGCATTTTATGGAGGACTGTTTCCTGGGAGAGTAGACTACAATGCCGGCTGTTCTGACTCACAGCCTGTAAGTAAGTTTTTTATATTTAAAGAATTTGCCACAGACGATTCAAACGCGAGTTTTCTGTTTCCTGGGAGAGTAGACTACAATGCCGGCTGTTCTGACTCACAGCCTGTAAGTACGTTTTCATATTTAAAGGATTTGACACTGACGATTCAAACGCGAGTTTTGAGCAGTGTTGAGTAGCACTTGTTGTTTGTTGTTTCTCCGATCACAAATGCAGACATGGTTTTATGTTTACGCGGCGCGATACGCAACGCAACGAGCGTAAAAAGAGTAGAAGTCATTATAATTAGGGTTGGGTATCGTTTGGTTTTTTTGATACCGGTGCCAAATCGATTCTTTTAAAACGGTTCTGGTGCCTAAACGGCCTGAACCGATACTTATAAAAAAATAAAATAAAAAAAATTCCCCCAAAAATTATGGATTGGCCATTAGCACTATAAACACATGATGTCTGTTTCATTCATAGATCTTATAAAAGCTCTCTAAATGAATGAATATACAAGTGTCTGGCTGGAGATACTGCTGATATTTAACATCATGCATGAAATAATGTTTCCTTTGCCTTAAGTCTTAATTGGAAAAACACACTATTCTCAAAGAGTTTGAATCATGTGTAGCCAGTGTTAGGGGCTTTTCAGAATTATTCACTGATGTTTCTGAAATCGTTAAAAAAGTTTCATTTTGATGATGTTGGGTCTGTGTGGTTGGCTGTTTGCATTGAGTCACAGGGAGCGGTCTGAGATACTGACAAACTTATATGTGTGATCTCCATGCAATGCCAGAGAGAATGTGGGAGCATTCACAGATAGAGGAAATAGCAGTGATGGACCAATGATCACTGTAGTTTTAAAACTACTAAACACTTTTATTGCATTTTCAATTTGAATGTCACTTAGTTCTTCTGTGTGTCACAAGCCAAAACTGATGGAACCATCATTTCCAAAACAACAAAAAATATTTGTATTGATTTTTTTAAAATTGAATTTTAGAAAAAAAGTGCAAAACTTCTACCTTTCTCGGGGTATAAACAGCTTATCACTGGGCAGTACCCTCAAAGGGTACCTTCTTTACCCCTAAAGGGTGCATATTAGTGCCTTAGAGTACCCTTCGTATGTACTTGTTTACACTTTATTTTACAGTATGTGTATTTACAGTGTACTTACCCAAGGAAGCACTGGTAGTATATGGTAACTACTTGGGTAAAGCTTAGGTATAAGGGGTATAGGTTCAGGGTTAGAACCAAGTTATTACCCAGTTATTGTAATACCAAATAAGTATATAGTATCTACACATGGAACAGGACTGTAAAATAAAGTGCTACCATGTACCGTTATGGTACTATTATGAACGGGGTGAAGAAAATACAAAGTTATTCCTTTGAGGGTACTAGCACATTTCTTCTGAGAGTGTATTATTTGTCCTGATGTCTGGAAATATGAGTAGACATCAGTTTTGTCACGACAACTCTCAGAGGGTTTGGCATGGTATGTACATGACAATGTTAATGTGTTTGGTCTTGGCGGAACAGATCTGCTACGCTGCTGCTGCAGAGCAAGTACCGAGACTTGCTATTGCCAAGAGGCAGACAGTAACTAAGTAAATTTACTTGAGTATTGTACTTAAGTACACTTTTTGAGTATCGGTACTTTACTTGAGTATTATTTTTTCTGGGAACTTATGACTTTAACTTCACTACATTTGAAAGACAAATATTGTACTTTTCACTCCACTACATTTCTATCAAGATCCTCGAAGTAGAAAGTCGTTACTCTGTAGCAGCTTTGAAAGTCAGTGGGTGATTTTTTTCTTCTCTAAAACGTGACTTTCTTTTTTTCAGACAGTTTATCAGTAATCACTCTTGTAGGACTACATTAAAAATGGTCCTCGTTTCCTGTTTACACTTAAGGCCCTTGGGGTCAATATGACCCCAAACATTGAAAGAGTAATTGTGAAAAAATATATACATTTGTAATCATACAAATAATATATATTTTTTTGTTTACTTCTCATCTATACATTAATGCTGTGTTTTGGGAGATATGAAGTACTTTTGTACCTATTTACCACAAAATTCCTCAACTACACCATTAGCTTGCATGTGAAATATTAATTGTTTATGATCTAGGTGTTAGGTGTAGAATTCTGCCATCTGCTAGTTAGAAATAAACCTAAAAGGATTACAGTTTAGGAAATAAATTGTTTTGACCAGCAGAGGGCCATAGAGAGCCATTCATTTTACTGGATGTGGCCAACTGCTTCTATCACAACTTTTGTGATACATTTTGTGAATTTATGTTTATATAAACATTAGAAAATTAATTAAAAATAAATATTCTTTCAAGTGGTATAATTTTTTGTGGTTTTTGATGCATTTTGAAATGTCTGTTTTCAAAAAATGCCACAGAAATTTGACAGAAAAATGCCACATTTGACAGAAAAATGGCACATAAGACACACCTAAAGGACAAGACTTAGAGTCAGATTGTAGTTGCATATTATTGCCAAGTGTAAAAAAATAAATAAAAATAAAATAACTTTAGAATGTGGAAGAAATTAAAAATGTAAATAAAACCAACAGCAATATGCAGAAGTGTGTGCGTGTGCATGCATTAGGTCTCACTCAAACGTGTTCTGCATTTGTGGCTGATTTCAAATGCTATCTGTGGCAATCATACCTGTGTGTGTGTGTGTGTGGGTGTGTGTGAGTGTGCCCGTGTGCGTGCATTAGGTCTCACCCCTTTGTATGATTTTTAGAAAAATATTTATGTGAAGCATAAATCTCCACCCCAGCCATCAGTGGGGTGTATAGGCAGATTGTATGAAAACTTTATTTAAATAACAAAATTATTTTAAAAAAATATATAAAAACGCATACGGGACATCAGAAACTAACAAGAAACTATGCAGATGGAGAGCTGTTCCAAACTATACAGCTTTGAGACATTGTTTGAACTGTGGTTTGCTGGAAGTCATTGAACTATGCTGGAATTTACAACCAAAGTTGTCTTACTGTACAATGCTTTTGACAAACACACCCTATATTAACAGACTGATTTAAACCATGTCCCTGGCTCTTTTTGATGATTTCTTTCTGTGTTATGATGAAAACGTTTTCCTATTTAGTGTGATAGATACAAAATAGACAGTCCAGACTCTGGTTCCCACAGTTTGTGTAACCACCTCCCCGTATCAGGACCGTTCTCCTCTATCAGCAAGGTCAGTGACCTCATCAGAAAGCGGCACGCCTGAGTGAATCACACACACCACGGGTGACTTGATTCTAGGTGCGCAGGAACAGACGGGGGCTGGACAGGAATGTGGGACGAATGGCCACTATAGGGGGGAAGATGTTAGAGTACAATTAATATTACTGGAGTTATTACAGTTTCCAATCTGCAGCGTGTATTAGCACGGTATCTCTGGAAAGTGTGTGTACTGGTTGTGAATACACACTGAGTAATTCTCGTTAACATGTCTATATGTCTGCGAGATGACTAAAGTGATGACCCTGTTAAGGGATTACTTAATGGATTGAGTGTGTTCTCTTGCTGGAAGTGTTTTATGAGTCACTGGGCATCATGCATGAAGAAATAACATCTGAAATTAAGCTGAAATATTAAAGCAGGGCTCCATATGGAAAAAATATAGAGCCATCGGTTCCTAAAATGAAATTTTTAGGAGCCGAATGACTTAAGTTGCATTGCATAATCTTATGCATTGCACTGCATAGCTTTTTGCTTTAGCAAC